TTGACACAACACTTGCTAGAGACGTTCATTTTCTTAATTCAGAGGATTTTACACAACACTTGCTAGAGACGTTCATTTTCTTCAGAGGATTTGACACAACACTTGCTAGAGACGTTCATTTTCTTCAGAGGATTTGACACAACACTTGCTAGAGACGTTCATTTTCTTCAGAGGATTTGATACAACACTTGCTAGAGACGTTCATTTTCTTCAGAGGATTTGATACAACACTTGCTAGAGACGTTCATTTTCTTCAGAGGATTTGATACAACACTTGCTAGAGACGTTCATTTTCTTAATCAGAGGATTTGACACAACACTTGCTAGAGACGTTCATTTTCTTAATTCAGAGGATTTGACACAACACTTGCTAGAGACGTTCATTTTCTTAATCAGAGGATTTGATACAACACTTGCTAGAGACGTTCATTTTCTTCAGAGGATTTGACACAACACTTGCTAGAGACGTTCATTTTCTTAATCAGAGGATTTGACACAACACTTGCTAGAGACGTTCATTTTCTTAATCAGAGGATTTGACACAACACTTGCTAGAGACGTTCATTTTCTTAATTCAGAGGATTTTACACAACACTTGCTAGAGACGTTCATTTTCTTCAGAGGATTTGACACAACACTTGCTAGAGACGTTCATTTTCTTCAGAGGATTTGATACAACACTTGCTAGAGACGTTCATTTTCTTCAGAGGATTTGATACAACACTTGCTAGAGACGTTCATTTTCTTCAGAGGATTTGATACAACACTTGCTAAAGACGTTCATTTTCTTAATTCAGAGGATTTGACACAACACTTGCTAGAGACGTTCATTTTCTTCAGAGGATTTGACACAACACTTGCTAGAGACGTTCATTTTCTTCAGAGGATTTGATACAACACTTGCTAGAGACGTTCATTTTCTTAATTCAGAGGACTTGACACAACACTTGCTAGAGACGTTCATTTTCTTAATTCAGAGGATTTGACACAACACTTGCTAGAGACGTTCATTTTCTTAATTCAGAGGATTTGACACATAACTTGCTAGAGACGTTCATTTTCTTAATTCAGAGGATTTGACACAACACTTGCTAGAGACGTTCATTTTCTTAATCAGAGGATTTGACACAACACTTGCTAGAGACGTTCATTTTCTTAATTCAGAGGATTTGACACAACACTTGCTAGAGACGTTCTTAATTCAGAGGATTTGACACAACACTTGCTAGAGACATTCATTTTCTTAATTCAGAGGATTTGACACAACACTTGCTAGAGACGTTCATTTTCTTAATTCAGAGGATTTGATACAACACTTGCTAGAGACGTTCATTTTCTTAATTCAGAGGATTTGATACAACACTTGCTAGAGACGTTCATTTTCTTAATTCAGAGGATTTGACACAACACTTGCTAGAGACGTTAATTTTCTAAATTCAGAGGACTTGACACAAAACTTGCACTTGCTAGAGACGTTCGTTTTCAAGAAATCTTCACCGTGCTGTTAAATTGTAACGGAATACTTGTGTACTTTTATCGGCTTGAGAATCGTATTGTTATTTTAGCAACTGTTTTATTTCTGTCACTCAGGATATGGTTGTTGTTTACATGTTGTCATGTCGGGGTTAGTCAGATGTCTCATGGTAGCTGAACAAGTGACAGATATAAAGATAATTTATTTGATGGCAAAACGTTCAGATAACCTCGTAAGAAATACCACCTAGTTCAACACTTCATATCGTGCATGTTTACATTCAAACACGGGATTTCTTTGCTGATAGTATCTCGGAAATCTCCACATGTGTTTGATATTTATGTGGGGAATAGGAAAACATTTTTACAAAAACTATTGTGATATTGTGGCCATTATACTAAAAGTATGGTGATATTGTGGCCATTATACTAAAACTACTGTGATATTGTGGCCATTATACTAAAATTATTGTGATATTGTGGCCATTATACTAAAACTATTGTGATATTGTGGCCATTATACTAAAACTACTGTGATATTGTGGCCATTATACTAAAAGTATGGTGATATTGTGGCCATTATACTAAAACTAATGTAGAGACCATTATACTAAAACTACTGTGATATGGAGGCTATATATGTGGGGACTATGAAAACTAGCGAGCTCTACAAAGACGTGCGTGCTACCAACAGAACACGGGCAGCTGATGTTGGAGACAGATCTGGTCGTGACGTCAGGAGCAGACGTCGCTTTAAAAGTCCTGGGACCAAACCTCGTGTCTCTGGCAGACTGACAGACACGGTGGGGGCTACAACATCAACCTTTGGTCTAGGGGCTACAACAACATCGACATTCAAAAATACACGACCACCAAACCCTCCCAAAAACCGACCACCAACAACAACATCCCCTCCAAAAAAACCACCACCAACAACATCCCCTCCTAAACACCAACCACCAACCTCCCCACCCAAAAACCCACCACCAACATCCCCTCCTAAACACCCACCACCAACCTCCCCACCCAAAAACCCACCACCAACATCCCCTCCTAAACACCCACCACCAACCTCCCCTCCCAAAAACTCACCACCAACCTCCCCACCCAAAAACCCACCACCAACCTCCCCACCCAAAAACCCACCACCAACCTCCCCACCCAAAAACCCACCACCAACCTCCCCTCCCAAAAACCCACCACCAACCTCCCCACCCAAAAACCCACCACCAACCTCCCCACCCAAAAACCCACCACCAACCTCCCCACCCAAAAACCCACCACCAACATCCCCTCCCACAAAAGCGCCAACCAACTCAGACAGGTCACGTGATGACCTCAGACAGTTAGTTAAGAAAACCATCTTACTGAAGGCGGTACAGCATCTAAAAGCTCGGGGTCGTCCAACTGTCACAACTGAACAGAGCAAAACTGCCGGAAGTGTGACCTACGATGCCGGAACTGTGACCTACGATGCCGGAAGTACCTTGCATGTAGACGGAAGTGACATCTCTACAGACGACTATGACGCAGCGTTATCAAATTTTAGAATTTTTCTTCAAGATTTTAAACAAAAGTTGAACCACGAGTTGGATGTCCTGCGTCGGTATAGGCTCGGTTATACAGGGAGCATGCAGGAGCAGGAACTGACAGGTAGTAGGCAGGATATGACAGGTAGTATGCAGGATATGACAGGTAATAACCAGGATATGACAGGTAGTAGGCAGGATATGACAGGTAGTAGGCAGGATATGACAGGTAGTAGGCAGGATATGACAGGTAATACACGTGATATGAAAGGGACCTGCTTCCTAACCGACAATTCGTCTGAGAGTCTTAGCCAATCAGATTATCAGATTAAAGAACATGCGCCATCTGGACAAGACGCAGAAACCGACATGCAAGTCCACAATACACACATGCTCCCGGTAATGGAATCTGTAGCGGAGGTCTTTGTTCGGACCACAGCACAAGAAACAAAACCTCAGGAACTATCGAGCACAAAACCTCAGGAACTATCGAGCACAAAACCTCAGGAACTATCGAGCACAAAACCTCAGGAACTATCGAGCACAAAACCTCAGGAACTATCGAGCACAAAACCTCAGGAACTATCGAGCACAAAACCTCAGGAACTTTCGATAAATCAGAGAGATGCAGCCACCCCTTGCCCAAACGTCGGGTCTAACGAAACTTTAGTGGAGAACATTCAAAACAGTTCGGGTCAAAGTTCAAATATTAGTGAAGATACACAAAGTAATAGAGTTATAGAACCACTGAGCGATGTTACTAAAAATAGCACGACTCGTGAGGAAACTTCTAGAGATAGTAGCAGTGGTGGGAGTTACAGAACTCTAAGCGCGAGTGATGACGTACATTCAGGAAATGACGTCCAGGCGACAGTTGTTACTTCACAGGTAACGTCAGGTGGTGGCAGGGTGTATGGTGGGAGGGTTTCTGGTGGCAGGGTGTCTGGTGGCAGGGTGTCTGGTGGCAGGGTGTCTGGTGGCAGGGTGTCTGGTGGCAGGGTGTCTGGTGGCAGGGTGTCTGGTGGCAGGGTGTCTGGTGGCAGGGTGTCTGGTGGCAGGGTGTCTGGTGGCAGGGTGTCTGGTGGCAGGGTGTCTGGTGGCAGTGTGTCTGGTGGCAGGGTGTCTGGTGGCAGGGTGTCTGGTGGCAGGGTGTCTGGTGGCAGGGTGTCTGGTGGCAGGGTGTCTGGTGGCAGGGTGTCTGGTGGCAGGGTGTCTGGTGGCAGTGTGTCTGGTGGCAGGGTGTCTGGTGGCAGGGTGTCTGGTGGCAGGGTGTCTGGTGGCAGTGTGTCTGGTGGCAGGGTGTCTGGTGGCAGGGTGTCTGGTGGCAGTGTGTCTGGTGGCAGGGTGTCTGGTGGCAGGGTGTCTGGTGGCAGGGTGTCTGGTGGCAGGGTGTCTGGTGGCAGGGTGTCTTCATGTGAAAGTTAAGTTTTTACCTCGTCTTAAGATGCTGTCAACCTGTCTTAACCCTTTAGATGCAGCGTCAGAAACTTGACGTGTATATGAGCTTAATGACGCAGTAGTTTTCTTGTAATGGCGAGTGTGGTTTAACACCCCATGCAAATGGCTCTCTCTGTTTCGGTCATTGATCTGATCTTTGAGTAATACATCGATATAACAGCACTGGATTTATATATCACTTAACTAATTCAATGATCGCAGGCCTATGTTCTAAAGGGATATGATAAAGACTGGAATTATCTGAGTTTTGTCACCCTTAGATGTACAAGGTACCCATTACTGCTGAGTAGACAGGTGCTACAAGGTAACGTTATGTGTTAACTGTTACTCAATTATTTTAATTAATGTAATTAATTTGCGCCCTTGACATTTGTTTCAGGCGCAGGCTCACGCGCAAGCCGAGGCGCAGGCGAGGGCTGAGCTGGCCAGACACGACCCCCCGGGGATGTACTATGACGACCCTCACCCGTACTCGAACTCTGACCTGATGGGTGCGGCCACCCAGTCGCGCCACCCCGACCAGTGGGGCAACCAGAGACCACTGGACCACCCCAGCAGCCAGTACGACGGTGGGGGCACGAGACAAGACACGCACCCTCCCCTGGGGTCTAACGGTCACGTGACTGATATTTACCAGCACAGCGCTGGAACCGGCTTCTCTACAGCCGGGCCGTATCACACGAAACCAGACTCAAGGTACCCTAACGCTTCAGTTGGGTACCCCACCACAACAAGCGGGTACCCCACCACAACAACCGGGTACCCCACCACAACAACCGGGTACCCCACCACGGCTAGCGGGTACCCCACCACCCACACAGGTCACCACACCAACAACGAACACCACATAGAAGGTGTCTACACTGCTAGCACACACCCCACAAACTACGCCGTGGATACCAATGGATACCCCAGCAGTGGATACACCAGCGGCAATCCATACCAGTTTGATTCCAGGATAATCGACACGACCTACACGGACAACGGCGGTACCATCTCGGGATACGGTGACGTCACCGACAGGAGCGGTCAGAGTGCATTCACCACCTCCACCTCCCCCAGCAGGAGGAGGAAGTTCGGTAGAGACCACACCAACTACGCCCTCCCGCCTAACCTTGACCCCTTTAAGAACAGCCACCCGGTGGTAAGCCACAACCTTGACCCCGGGAGTGACGTCATGGACCACGCCGGGCCGCCCGGCCTACCGCTGTCGGATGGCACCAACGGTTACGGCGAGGACACGGGCCTCAAGGTCATCGTCCTTGACCGGACGGACGACGAGGACGAGCCTGACGTGACCTTGGACGGTCAGCCGGCGTACGGGTCAAGGTCGAACTCTGATGTGTATCCCATCGACAAGAGCGCCATCGAGCGCGACCTGTACAAGCAGGAGTACGACCCCACGGTGACCAGCTTCAAGGCCAACATGACCCCCAGCATCCACTCCCACAGCAGGCGGACCCCTGCGGGGGAGGGGCGGACCCCTGCAGGGGTCGGGGGGTCGGGCCAAGACGACGTACGCCACCAGAACAGCATTAACGCTAGTCAACAGTTCATTTATCACGTGACTGACTACGACTCGGACAACCTGACCCAGCGGACTTCTTCCGGTCAGGTCATTGACCCTAACAAAACCAACCCCCAATCCGTCAGGTCGAAAAAACACTCGTTCCCCAAACGGATCCACCGGGCGTACGACCCGGTGGAGGTGGTGGAGCAGCCGTCCACCATGTACGCCATGGCACAGATCGACTACGACCGCTACACCAACCAGTCGCAGCTGAGCACCGTGATGGAGGACAGCGGGCAGGAGACGCACCGGACCGACGAGACGGCTGACCAGTATGACGTGTACACCGGCGGCAAGAGCCGGACCTTCCTGATCCACCCCTCGGCCAAGATCTCCACCCACCGTGTCCCTGGGGCCACCAGCCCCGACTTCAAGGTCATGGGCCCCGGGTACAAGTTCCAGGTAGATCGATACAACATGATCAAAAGGGCATCGATACTCAACAGGGCCGAGAAGCTTCTAGACGCTAGACGTGGCCACTATAATGACAGGTCAGTTGTTTGATTGATTCATTAGGTTAATTAGGTTAATTAGAGTACACACTGATTGCTTCATATCACTTGATTTAAGTAGATTAGAGTTTATAAGGAGAGGTAAATCGGGAACTAATTGAATATTGGCGGCAGTGGTTGAACGCTCTACCACTAGACCACTCTTCCATACAACAGACAAGTACACATACATGTACTCACATCTTTCACGTGTACACAGACACCATATTCACACAACTTTTTAACCGCTAACGTCATACTTCACGTGTACGTAGAATCCACATTTTACCGCTAACAATTACACGTCATATTCCACGTGCCAACAGGTACAATAAACGTAACAATATTCCTCTATAGATTGTGGCTAACTTTAAAGGGGCGCTAGGATCAGAATTTCTTTCATGTTGAGCTGATTAAATATTGATATTCGTCCTTTGAAACAATGGCACGGCCAATAGCTTTTGTGGCTTTGTGTGTTGGTTGGTTTGTGTGGCTTTGTGTGTTGGTTGGTTTGTGTTTGTGTAGGTTTGTGTTTGTGTCAGAGAGTCGATGTTTGTATTTTTAAAAAATCGATCTTTGTCGGCGGTTATCGATACACTGTCACGGAATTAATCAGGTTAGCCATCTTAGGGGTTGTGGTAGAGATATCCATCATGTGTAGCACCTAGCCAGTCTAGAAATTTCCGTGTGTTGGGGGGTTGTGGTAGAGATATCCATCATGTGTAGCACCTAGCCAGTCTAGAAAGTTCCGTGTGTTGGGGGGTTGTGTGACTGATCTCACTCAGCAGTAGACGGCACAACAAACTCGAGTGACCGGTACATCTGCAAGTGTTTTTCTAAATATCATTTATCTTCTTTATCTTATTGTTTAAGGATTTTGGCTTGGTTTTCGCTAATGTTTGTATGTGTTTTTTTTTAAATTAATATTAATTTCTGTGGTAGTTATAGTGGTTAATCTGTGCTGTAATTACGGTTATTATCATGATTAGTCTAGTATAAAAATATATCGTGATTAATGTATATAGTGACTAGCCGTACCGGCCAGGCCCTGCACTAGCATTTTAAGTACCTTATATGCTCATTTAGCATCATATACCCTGCGCTGCCTGCTATGTGGGAATCAGGGTCGGCGCTACCTATAAGGCGAACTAAGCAGTCGCCTAGGGCGCTATCCATGGGGGGGGGGGGGTAAAAATGTGTAATTTCCAATAGTAAAAAGTACCTAATAATGAATAACTTTGATAACATTATACCAACTTTAAACTTTAGAGTAATATACAAAGGCGTGGCGATCTATTTCGATGCCCGAGATGAACTTTAAATTTTGCGCCCCATCTTCAAATTAGGCATATTTATTATTTTTATTCGCTTGGTGATAATGCGCCCCCCCCCCCAACCTCCCTCACTAGGCAATGTTGGGGCGCTTTTTACCAGTCACTTTGCCTTTTATTTTGGTGCCAAACAATTGATGTAAAAACATTTAAATAATGCCAAGTTGCAGTCAACATTCTTTATTTCGACTGTATATAATACAGTAATGAGCTTTTGATATTATTATCTGCCGTATTCGGCGCCCCCTTTGGGACTGTGCCTGTGCAATTTTGATTTTTAAATAGGGCTAAGTCTCATTTTCTCTCACTTTAGAAATTTCGTATACCAGGAAGAGATTTAGATTTTCAAACTTAATTAATTGTTGATATATATATATATATATATATATATATATATATATATATATATATATATATATATATATATATATATATATATATATATATATATATATATATATATATATATATATATATATATATATATATATATATATATATATATATATATATATATATATCCGAAAAAAATTGAGGGGGAGGGGGCATTTTAATAAGTTTTGCCAAGGGCGCTAATACACGCCGGCACTGGTGTGAATTTCTACAATTTTCAATTAAAGGCATTGTTAATGTATAAATTGTTAATGTATAAAAAGATGTTAGCTTGATTAAAATGTTGGGGATACAACTTTACCTGATGTTGGAACATGGACATGATATGGAGGGTAAATGCTTTAATGTTTACATTTCTGAATGAAAAAAAGTGTAATACTTGACATGTCACTTTATTATTTTTAAAGAGTAAATTTAGCAGGTTTTGCTAGTGGCCTCTTCAAATATCAGTTATTAGAGATGGTTTAAATCTTACACGTAGTCGTGTTCACGTCGTTGTGTTCACGTCGTTGTGTTCACGTCGTTGTGTTCACGTCGCTGTGTTCACGTCGCTGTGTTCACGTCGTTGTGTTCACGTCGTTGTGTTCACGTCGTTGTGTTCATGTTATGTTCACTCGTTTTTTTCGCGCCAATGGAACATCTTCAATTTCCTGCCGACCTTTAACCTTCACTCTGACCTTCAATCTTCACTCTGACCTTCAACCTTCACTCTGACCTTCAACCTTCACTCTGACCTTTAACCTTCACTCTGACCTTCAACCTTCACTCTGACCTTTAACCCTTACTCTGACCTTCAACGTTAACTCTGACCTTCAACGTTCACTCTGACCTCCAACCTTCACTCTGACCTTTAACCTTCACGCTGACCTTTAACCTTCACTCTGATCTTCGATCTTCACTCTGACCTTCAACCTCCACTCTGACCTTCAACCTCCACTCTGACCTTTAACCTTCACGCTGACCTTTAACCTTCACTCTGACCTTCAACCTTCACTCTGACCTTTAACCTTCACTCTGACCTTTAACCTTCACTCTAAGCCGTATCTGTGATTATAACCCTAACCCTACCCCAAACATCAAGGCTCCACCTTATGACCAGTGTCCAGCAGGTCACTGAGTTACACCCCCCCCCCTCCATCGTTTGCTTTACGTACTGTTACATTATTCTTCACTCAATTTTAGTTTTTTAACGAAAGTGGAAAATAAAAAGAATAAAAATCTTTTGAATAATAAGCTCTTACATAAATATGGACTAAAAAGGAGAAAATAAATTTTTTTTTAAAAAAGCTTAATAAAACAACTACTATTTAAATAACTAAAAACTCACTAAAATTGTTTTAAACAACATATGCAGTACTTTCCTTGAATTTTTTTAAAACTGTGTTTCATCGTGAGTAAATATCAAGAAGTGGATGTAGTCGACTCTAGAGGGGTCATAGCTTTTTTCAATTGACAGTCATCGATAAGCACTGTGTCTGTACATTTGTCTGTCTGTTAGTCTGTATGTTTGTATGTGTGTCAGTTTGTGTGTCTGTGTGTCGGTTTGTCTGTATGTGTTTCAATTTGAATGTCTATATGTTTGTGTCTGTCTGTTTTATCTGTGTGTCAGTGTGTGTCGGCATGTTTGTATGTCAGTATGTTTGTGTGTCTGTCTGTTTTATCAGTGTGTGTGTCAGCGTGTGTGTCAGCGTGTGTGTCAGTGTATGTGTCAGCGTGTGTGTCAGTGTGTGTGTCAGTGTGTGTGTCAGTATGTTTGTATGTCTGCTTGTCACGTATATCACCTGTACTCTTGTACCCCCCCCCTCCTGCCCCCTCAGCCAATCAGAAACGAGTGACGAGATTCGACAAGTCGGCGACGATGAAGACGACGAGGATGAGGACGATGTGAATGAGATGACCGGCCCTCGACACCACGCGTTACGTCACGTCCGGCAGCGTCAGTTCGACGACTCGACTAGCTACAACAGCAGTGATGATGTGCTCAACACCATGAGGTAGGCGGGGGTCAGGGGTTAGGGGTTAGGGGTCAGTAGCCGATGTGTGAGGTAGGCGGGGTCAGGGGTCAGTGGCCGATGTGTGAGGTAGGTGGGGTCAGGAGTCATGGGTCAGGGGTCAGTGGCCGATGTGGTAAACAGAGGGTTTCTTTCATACATTTCTCCTGAAAGAGGAGGGAAGATGGAGCTTGTCCAACGATCCTCGCACGAATTAGAAAACAAATTGCATTGATATAGAAAATACTTGAACTATTGTCTGCCCCCCTGGATAATTCAAGTACATCCAAGGAGAAAAATGTCAGAAAGAAACCCTGTTTAATACTGGAATGCAACAAATGTGATATGAGGTGAATGGAACAGCCCGCAAAAAAAAAAAAATAAATAAATAAATTTAAAATTTTTTAAAAAAAAAACAACAAACCCTTACATTGTAGTATACGCGATAAAAAATATTACGAAGGGGCATAACCGACAAAATAGCTTTGGTGAGCTGGAGAAGATAGTGAAGGGGACATAACTGCAGTAAAGCGAGTAAAGGCTAGTGACTGTGTCTCGGCTAGAAGAAATGTTAACAACACCAAGACAAAACAGAGGGACAGACAAATATTATTGAGTAGGCGGGACGAATCGTAACGCTTGTTGGTATACGAGAACACAATATCACATCAACATGCATCAACATAAAGTTGCCTGTATTTAGTATCATCATAAAGTTGCCTGTATTTAGTATCATCATAAAGTTGCCTGTATTTAGTATCAACATAAAGTTCCCTGTATTTAGTATCAACATAAAGTTGCCTGCATTTAGCAGAGGCGTAGCGATGGGGGGGGGGGGGGGGGGGCACGAGGGTACATATGTCCTCGAGCGCCGACCTTAGGGGGCGCCAAACTGGGTTGTAAAAACAAATGAAAATGTCATTTTAGCTGCATTTTTTATTTAAAAATAGTTTGCGGGTGGGGGGGGGGTGCAAATCGAAAGTTTGGGGGGGGGGGGGTGCAAATTGAACATTTGCTCCCAGGGGGCGCCAAATTGAAAGTTTGTACCCGGGCGCCGGGAAGGGTCGCTACGCCTCTGGTATTTAGTATCAACATTAAGTTGTAAACTGGGAATAACTGATACGGTATCTGGAGGAAGGGAAACAACCGATAAATTAGTTTAGCTAAGAGGAGTAACCGAGAAAATAGCTGCCATAAGGGGAAGAACCAATAAAAAGCTGATTGAAGTATAAAGGTAGATAAAATATCTGACCTGTGTAAATGTGGTACTTGCAACAATAGCTGCAATCTATTTTAAAATATTTGGACGAAGCTATCATTAAATAAACATAATTTAAGTGCTGATACAATATCCACACTGTCCCTTAACCCTTACATTAATAGTGTTACTTTAACTAGATTAGATAAAGTGTTCTGGGTAAAAATACACCATTCTGTTGACACTACCTCAAACGTTTTAGCCAAGATAGTCCGCTTGTTGCAGGTATCACCCTAACAAAGTCACCCTCTTGCAGGTATCACCCTAACAAAGTCCCACTGTTGCAGGTATCACCCTAACAAAGTCACCCTGTTGCAGGTATCACCCTAACAAAGTCACCCTGTTGCAGGTATCACCCTAACAAAGTCACACTGTTGCAGGTATCACCCTAACAAAGTCCCACTGTTGCAGGTATCACCCTAACAAAGTCACACTGTTGCAGGTATCACCCTAACAAAGTCACCCTGTTGCAGGTATCACCCTAACAAAGTCACACTGTTGCAGGTATCACCCTAACAAAGTCACACTGTTGCAGGTATCACCCTAACAAAGTCACTCTGTTGCAGGTATCACCCTAACAAAGTCACACTGTTGCAGGTATCACCCTAACAAAGTCACCCTGTTGCAGGTATCACCCTAACAAAGTCACACTGTTGCAGGTATCACCCTAACAAAGTCACACTGTTGCAGGTATCACCCTAACAAAGTCACCCTGTTGCAGGTATCACCCTAACAAAGTCCCACTGTTGCAGGTATCACCCTAACAAAGTCACCCTGTTGCAGGTATCACCCTAACAAAGTCACACTTTTGCAGGTATCACCCTAACAAAGTCCCACTGTTGCAGGTATCACCCTAACAAAGTCCCACTTTTGCAGGTATCACCCTAACAAAGTCCCACTGTTGCAGGTATCACCCTAACAAAGTCACCCTGTTGCAGGTATCACCCTAACAAAGTCCCACTGTTGCAGGTATCACCCTAGAGGCCCTGTCTCGCAGGCTGCCAGGAGAGCCCGTCTGACGTCAGTTAATGCCAGACTCAACAAACAGAAGAGGATCCGACAGTCCAGGAGACAGGTAGGTCACACCCTGTCACCTGTACATACCTTACCTGTACAGGTAGGTCACACCCTGTCACCTGTACATACCTTACCTGTACAGGTAGGTCACACCTTACCTGCACAGGTAGGTCACACCCTGTCACCTGTACATAACTTACCTGTACAGGTGGGTCACACCCTGTCACCTGTATATACCTTACCTGTACAGGTAGGTCACACCCTGTCACCTGTACATACCTTACCTGTACAGGTAGGTCACACCTTACCTGCACAGGTAGGTCACACCTTACCTGTACACAGGTAGGTCACACCTTACCTGTTTACAGGTAGGTCACACCTTACCTGTACAGATAGGTCACACCCTGTCACCTGTATATACTTTACCTGTACAGGTAGGTCACACCCTGTCACCTGTACATACTTTACCTGTACAGATAGGTCACACCCTGTCACCTGTACATACCTTACCTGTACAGGTAGGTCACACCTTACCTGCACAGGTAGGTCACACCCTGTCACCTGTACATAACTTACCTGTACAGATAGGTCACACCCTGTCACCTGTATATACTTTACCTGTACAGATAGGTCACACCCTGTCACCTGTACATACCTTACCTGTACAGGTAGGTCACACCCTGTCACCTGTACATACTTTACCTGTACAGGTAGGTCACACCCTGTCACCTGTACATACTTTACCTGTACAGGTAGGTCACACCCTGTCACCTGTACATACTTTACCTGTACAGGTAGGTCACACCCTGTCACCTGTACATACTTTACCTGTACAGGTAGGTCACACCCTGTCACCTGTACATACCTTACCTGTATATCTAGGTCACACCCTGTCACCTGTATATACCTTACCTGTACAGGTAGGTCACACCCTGTCACCTGTACATACCTTACCTGTACAGGTAGGTCACACCCTGTCACCTGTATATACTTTACCTGTACAGGTAGGTCACACCCTGTCACCTGTACATACTTTACCTGTACAGATAGGTCACACCCTGTCACCTGTACATACCTTACCTGTACAGGTAGGTCACACCCTGTCACCTGTACATAACTTACCTGTACAGGTGGGTCACACCCTGTCACCTGTATATACCTTACCTGTACAGGTAGGTCACACCCTGTCACCTGTAAACAACTTACCTGTACAGGTAGGTCACACCCTGTCACCTGTACATACCTTACCTGTACAGGTAGGTCACACCCTGTCACCTGTACATACTTTACCTGTACAGGTAGGTCACACCCTGTCACCTGTACATACTTTACCTGTACAGGTAGGTCACACCCTGTCACCTGTACATACTTTACCTGTACAGGTAGGTCACACCCTGTCACCTGTACATACTTTACCTGTACAGGTAGGTCACACCCTGTCACCTGTACATACTTTACCTGTACAGGTAGGTCACACCCTGTCACCTGTACATACTTTACCTGTACAGGTAGGTCACACCCTGTCACCTGTATACACCGTCACACCCTGTCACCTGTACATACCTTACCTGTACAGGTAGGTCACACCTTGTCACCTGTATACACCGTCACACCCTGTCACCTGTACATACCTTACCTGTACAGATAGGTCACACCCTGTCACCTGTACATAACTTACCTGTACAGGTGGGTCACACCCTGTCACCTGTACATACCTTACCTGTACAGGTAGGTCACACCCTGTCACCTGTATACACCGTCACACCCTGTCACCTGTACATAACTTACCTGTACAGGTGGGTCACACCCTGTCACCTGTACATACCTTACCTGTACAGGTAGGTCACACCCTGTCACCTGTACATAACTTACCTGTACAGGTAGGTCACACCCTGTCACCTGTACATACCTTACCTGTACAGGTAGGTCACACCTTACCTGCACAGGTAGGTCACACCTTACCTGTACACAGGTAGGTCACACCTTACCTGTTTACAGGTAGGTCACACCTTACCTGTACACAGGTAGGTCACACCCTGTCACCTGTACATACCTTACCTGTACAGGTAGGTCACACCCTGTCACCTGTACATAACTTACCTGTACAGGTAGGTCACACCTTACCTGTACACAGGTAGGTCACAACATGTCACCTGTATATACTTTACCTGTACAGATAGGTCACACCCTGTCACCTGTACATACTTTACCTGTACAGATAGGTCACACCCTGTCACCTGTATATACTTTACCTGTACAGATAGGTCACACCCTGTCACCTGTACATACTTTACCTGTACAGATAGGTCACACCCTGTCACCTGTATATACTTTACCTGTACAGGTAGGTCACACCCTGTCACCTGTACATACCTTACCTGTACAGGTAGGTCACACCCTGTCACCTGTACATACCTTACCTGTACAGGTAGGTCACACCTTACCTGCACAGGTAGGTCACACCTTACCTGTACACAGGTAGGTCACACCTTACCTGTTTACAGGTAGGTCACACCTTACCTGTACACAGGTAGGTCACACCCTGTCACCTGTACATACCTTACCTGTACAGGTAGGTCACACCCTGTCACCTGTACATAACTTACCTGTACAGGTAGGTCACACCTTACCTGTACACAGGTAGGTCACAACATGTCACCTGTATATACTTTACCTGTACAGATAGGTCACACCCTGTCACCTGTACATACTTTACCTGTACAGATAGGTCACACCCTGTCACCTGTATATACTTTACCTGTACAGATAGGTCACACCCTGTCACCTGTACATACTTTACCTGTACAGATAGGTCACACCCTGTCACCTGTATATACTTTACCTGTACAGGTAGGTCACACCCTGTCACCTGTACATACCTTACCTGTACAGGTAGGTCACACCCTGTCACCTGTACATACCTTACCTGTACAGGTAGGTCACACCCTGTCACCTGTATACACCGTCACACCCTGTCACCTGTAAACACCTCACCTGTACAGGTAGATCACACCCTGTCACCTGCAAACACCCTACCTATTTACTTAAAGGCTACCCTTCTGTTTACACTTGCATGGCCGACAAGTTACCCTCTCATTTACTACCCTGTCGCTTGTGTAAAACAATCTCTGATTGGCTGTTTGTTACAAGGCACCACCATTAGTTTTGTTGCACACTTCCGGTGAATATTTTCTCCAAGTCATTTGAACGTGTCTCCCAACTAGCGATAGGGGTGGTGGAAAATGTTGTGTTACAAATCTCAAATCACCCCTGGGTATGATCGGCTATCTCTAATGATTGCTACCAATGATTGAACGTCATCATCTCTTGGTTTGATGTTGGTAGCTGCGTGATGACTAAAATAAATCGATTTTGGGTAGGCTGTTTATTTTTTTATTTTTAACATATCTAAAATATTATCACAAAGAATATCACAAATGTACGAAAGTAATATAAAACACGCCATCAAGATTTCATATTCACATGTTTTAATGTAACTGCAAAATATTAGAAAACATTGAGAATATCCTTGGTCTACGGTTACATTGTCAACTAGCTGGTTGTCAACTAGCTGGTTGTCAGACAGCTGGTTGTCATACAGCTGGTTGTCCAAAAGGGTTGGGAATATTTGAATTGTCTAGAAGTGGAAACTTTTTAATAGTTGTGTGACGTCATTTTTGTATCGCGCATTAATCAACTCCATACCCGCTACATCACGGGGTGGGGGTGGGATGGTGGGGTGGTGGGTTGGTGAACGAAAAAAAAAAGTCACAGGAAAAAAAACACAGAAAAAAAGTCACAGTGGAAACATTTTATCGGAAAAAAAGTCACAGAAATAAAGTCACAGAATTTAAGTCACAGAAAAAAAGTCACAAAAATCTTTTTAGAAATATTTTTATTAATTTGTTAAGAATTGTAAAATTTGTATGTTTATTGTTGTGGGTTGTATTTTTTTATAGCATAAATTATTTATAGACGTTAAAAGCATTATGATTTATAACAATTGTAAGTAAAAATACTCTAAGATTATTAACACAACAATCTCAACTTTATTGCGTAGAAAAGTTAATTATAAAAGAAATGTAGGCACATTTTGCCGTAGGCTATTTATTGGTTGGCCTCTCCTCAGTAGGCATTGTCCGAACATATTTTGTGTTGTTGACGTTTTGCGTCAATGACAGCCTTTCAACCTTGTCGGCTTTCTGTTTTGATCCTAAGTTTTGTTATGTAATGAGCGTGATAAATGTGGGCAGTAAAGGTGGTTGAACTATTCATAACTATTGTTGCGATGAGTTGAGGGCAGCAAGTCAGAAGAACTTACCATTTCACGGTAATTTAATATTGGTATTTTAAAAAAAACACGATGAAAAACGTGAACTGGAGAATTCTATTAAATGCTACCAATCTTAAGTTTAAAATAATTACAATCTACATACTTCATAATAAATATTTTTAGATGAATTATAAAAATTCCTATGCGTATACAGCCTACACACATTAAATTACATTTAATTAATCCTAAGTTAATTTGCACTCTCTAAATATTTAATACATAAAATTATTAACAAATATCATGCAAATATATATTTGTGACTTTTTTCCTGTGACTTTTTTCCTGTGACTTTTTTTCCTGTGACTTTTTTCCTGTGACTTTTTTTCCTGTGACTTTTTTCCTGTGACTTTTTTTCCTGTGACTTTTTTTCTGTGTTTTTTTTCCTGTGACTTTTTTTCCTACCATCGGTAGGTTGGGGGTGGATGCTGGGGGTGGGGGTACTTGGTTGGGGTGGGGGTTGGGGTTGCTTGGTTGGGGTGGGGGTTGGGGGTGGTTGGTTGGGGGTGGGGGTTGGGGGTGGTTGGTTGGGGGTGGGGGTTGGGGGTGGTTGGTTGGGGGTGGGGGTTGGGGGTGGTTGGTTGGGGTTGGGTTTTGGTGGTGGGGGTATCGTGGGGGGGGGGGTAGAACGCTAGCCGTATTCGCTGCTTGTGGTTGTATTCGGGTCAGACGCTGCTGCCTGGGTTGTGCCAGAGGGTTGGGTTGTCGGGTTGGGGGTTGTATCATCA